TTTGCTGCATTCACACCGATGGTGGAAAAGAAATGATTAAACTCTTCGGCCACTAATTTCGGTTCCTTACTGTAGACCACCGACTCTCTTTCCCTATACGCTATATTTTCTTTAATTACCTTCCAAAGTGACCCAGTATTGTTTCTGTGTTGCTGAACTTCCTTGAGTACATATTCTTTCTGTGCATTAACAAGTGCGGTTTTTGTAAAATTGCGGGCCTCTCTGAAATTAAGCCAATCATAATGATCACGTGTTTTCCTGAAAAGACTGTGGAGCTGGTCTCTTTGATCATGGATGCTTTTATTTCCGGGGTGATAAATGGGCAAGATTTTCCGCGTACTTTTATGGTCTTTACTGGGGCGTGTTTATCCAATGTATTTAAAAATATTTCATTAAAAATGGTTAGTTTTTCATCAACATTGTCCATTCTGAAAATGGAAACAAGACGCTCACGGTTGGATGCCAGATCGATCGCGAACAAATCAGGGTCGTATTTATTGTAGCTGCGGGTAGTGATATAGTTTGGTGGAGATTTGTCGGTTTTAAGTTTTAGTGATACATACACAGGGAAATGATCGCTGATACAGGTTTCTATGACGCCGCTGTTGACTACTAGTCTTGGCGAGGATACGAAAATAACGTCGACGAGGGTCTGACTGGATTCAGTAATTTTTGTTGGTGATTTTATTAACTGGTTAAGGTTGAGTTCTTTTGTCGTCTTGATCAAAGACGCTGATCCAGGTGTGGGCTTAAGCATATCGCAGTTTAGGTCTCCAAGAAGAATGATCAACTTTCCCATCGTCAGAGCATGAACATAATTAGGGTTAAAATATTTTTCGAAGCAGTCAAGCGGGCTGTCTGGGGGTCGATAAGAGACACAGACCAACAGTGATTTAGATTTTTTGTGCTGTAATTTGATCCATAATTGATGGAAATTCGTCTCGGAGATATAACTGAGGTCTTTAAGTACAAGAGATTTAATATCTTTTCGTATGTAAACACATACCCCGCCCCCTTTCTTGTGCAGTCGGTCTAAACGATGTAGCTTATAACCTTCGATTTCTATTTCCTTGTTTGTGACGGAGGTATTTAACCATGTCTCTGATACTGTAAGGACGTCAATTTTGTTAAATTGTCAATTTTGTTAAATTTGGTAAACTTACGTAATTCTAAAAAATGGGCGTTATTTTTCAGAGAGCGGATGTTTAGGTGGACCAGTTTGAGACCTGGAAGGGTACTGAGGCTGTTATCTGACTTTTTTGTTAAATGGGCTGAGGCCGTATCATTAGTGGTTTTCGACGTGAATGACCACGAGAGTGCGGAAGCGTTTGGAGAGGCAGGGTTGGACAAAGGAACACGAACAAGATTTCTATTTTGCAAGTTATTGTTAATACTAGAAGAATTATTAATGGTTTGTTGATATGATAGTCTCTGACGTGATGGTCTCTGACGTGAAGTGATTCTAACAGGTATTTTCATCATATTGTCTGCTGCTGACTCGTCAAACAGGCCACTGTGTGGAGATGGGCCAACCACTCTAGAGAGTGGTGGCGGTGGGCTGTCCGATACGAAGGAATGACACGACAACGTTTTAAAAAAAGGATACCGACTACAATGGTGCCTTCGAAACCCTAAGGGGTTTGTAACTTGACCGTGTCTAAGACTTGAGGGTCTCGGGGTTGGAAGATGAGGGAACGAAGAATGCTTTAGATTTGACTCGCTGATTGACCTATCCGATCGGGGATTCACCTGGTCAGGGTTAAGGGCATCAAGGCTTAACACGGTTTTTGCATAGGATCGGTCGCAATTCCTACATATGCCTTGCTTCCCACGTTGCTTGAAATGTTGACACCCATCGGATAAATCCTGCTCACGCTGATCTAATTCATTTTCGTCAAAAGTGAGGTTTGCAGAAACATCTTCGATTATACTTAGATCTTCGCATAAGGGCAAATAGTTTAAAACATTCTTAGCCTGAAAAGGCTCGCGGTTCAGGCTTAATGAGTAATCTTTTTTGAAGGAGTTGATTGTAGTCTTAGATTGTTGTGTGGATAATAGGGCATTGTTCTTTATTTCAATGATAACTCTAGGGAAACTTTCCTCAGCGGGCAGGTTATCTACATTAACTGGGGTTGATAATGCACCAGATGGGTGATTTATTTTAGTTGATCCATCGTGTTTGGAATTTACATTGTCAGGACTGTATGTATAAATTTGATTGAAGTATTTTTCGATTGCTTATTTTCTAAGGTTTAATTAAGAACACATAAAGTTTACCTTGTATAAAGTATGTGATAAAGTCTCATACTAACCCAAGAAACGCTGAAATCCACACACTGAAAACTTTTGTTTCATGCCTTTTCAGCCTCGTTTTGATGCTCTCGTGCTCAGGGGCGTAGCCAAGGGGGGGCAAGGGGGGGCGGTCGCCCCCCCAATCGCAAAAAAATTATTCTCTGAAAAAGGCTAAATCCGTAGAGGGGGGGGGGTACACGTTACATCCTCGAAGCTGAAACGGATTAAGTACGTCTCCACTGAGGAAAACGACGAAATACTGGAAGAACTTGATTTTTAAAATCTCGTTAAAACAGTTGTAAATATGGTTCCAAGAGGAAAATTCAATCAACAGTCAGGCAATTTTGGTATGCAATAAAAAAAAATGGAACAAATTCTGTTAATTTTGTCTAAAATTAAGTGAATTTTTAGGCAAATTTTGTGAATTTTCGAAAATTTGTGTTATGTTGCGAAAAATATTGGTTGTCCGGAAAATTTTTTTGACCCCTAAAATGGTACACTGACCGATTTTTTTGGCGACGGGGGGGGGGATGTCGCCAAAATAATTTTTCCGGAAAAAATTTTTTGGTACTAGTCGGGCAGAATCCCGGAAAGTCGGGCAATTTTCGTTCCGCCCCCAATTTTTTCCTTCCGGTACGCCCATGGGTCTCGCGCCTTCGGCGTTCGCTTCGCCCCCCCAAAAATGAAGGTCTGGCTACGCCACTGCTCGTGCTTAGACCATTCGATATATAACTGTATGATTTTATAATGCTGTCTTGTTCGCGTACAGATTGCTGCAGTTGAAATTACTTATATGCTCAAACTGACTAAAAAGAGACGAAACTGGAATAAAATTGCCTTCTTTACTCGGAGCTGTCTATTAACCTAAACAAGTTTAATTTGCCTCAAATGTAACTTTGCAGTGTCAAATAGTGTTGGGGCGATGTCCCTTGTATATCAATATAAACAATGGAGAATGTCTCACAAAACTGTACGAAAAGAAGTGTCCGTAAAGAACTGTTCATAAAAATCTTTCCTTAAACTATGAAAAACTGTCGGGTATCCGTAATATATAGTTATAGTTAAGTTAGTCTCACGTTTATTTATATAATATATTTTTTTTTAATTAATGTTCACCGTAAATGGGGTAACCCGTGCTGGTGGCTTCCCTAATCTCCGAATAAACAATCTCGTAGTCTCAAAACGAGTTTCTTTAAATTTATACCATTCAACGGTTTATTTCCGCTATAGTAACTGATTAGTTTTCAATGTGAAAAATAGATTTTAATATTTGGGACGTTTTTCTGGGTTGTAAACTTTATTGTCGTCCATACTCAACAGCGAACGTGAATGAAAAGGTGGAAATCTTTGCTATACATGAATAGTGTACCTTCGGAAAAACTCATGAGAGACGATATATCCCCCAGTAATCTCTCTCGTTCATTCTCAGCAGGAACTCGACAGGTACTAACCGAACTAGACATTTTGTATATTTCATCGGGATAGTCGTCTTCTCATCATGCTTGTCTTAACGGCAACAAACTATGTTTTAAAGCAGGGAAGGGCAGAGGAGTAATTTAAGATTAGCTGGCGGAGCTGAAGCGGGTGCTGCAAATTTACTGTCGCAGTTATTACCTTAAAAATGCACTGTAAATACCGATTCATGTCATAAATGTCAATTGCATTACAAGGTTCGAGCAGTAGCGTTTAGCAAGTAGAAACTATATGCAAAATTATTTGTAAATTTAGCTATTAACTAAGAAACAAAAAACTTGAAGACTACCTAAAAGGGGGATTTTTCATATAACTTATCATGATGCTTTGCAACTGTCATGATTACATGAGAACCAGTTAGTCAACAGCAAGAAAACATTAACTCATTGGTCATCATTAACTCAGCTTATCAGACTTGGAAAAACTCGTGTATTGTAAAACACACATTTCTAAGTTCAGCTATTTTCAATTAGTTTGGAAGAAATTAAATGAAAGAAAAAATAAAGAACGAAAGAAAGGCAGGAAAATAATGTACCTTGTATGCTACATCTGTATATTCGATTTCAAAATCGTTTAGACTGTATTTCTAACCACAGTTATTTTCAATTAGTTTTTACACTTCGTTGCTCCCATGTCGACGCCCTACTTTGACTACCTGCCAAGAACAATAATCAAGAATAACTGAAGCGAGGAAATATTTGTCGGTGAACGTATTTATAAAAATATATTGCCACAATGAAAAGACATAAGGTCATGATTGTATAAGTTAAACATTACATGGTACAGAATTGTTAAAGATTTACACCTGCTTGACTTTATTTTAGTCGGTCAGCAGGAGTGCAATCACCAGCCATGGATCGTATTCTAATTTTATAAGTTAAATAATTTCAAATACTTGTAACTTGATTATTAATCAACTCAGAATGATATAATCTGGGTGTATTCTTCTAAATAATAATGATAAATGTATACCGGAAAACTGTCAGATATAGGCTATTTTGCAATCTGATTGGTTCTCTATATTGACCAACAGGATAATAGCTCATATCCTGTTAGTAGGGAAAACAAGATGGCGGCTCCCTTTACCTTGGGAAGTAATTACTCAACAGCAACAATATTATAATGGCGACTGTGTACGCGTAGATACTGCTGTGGTGCATTTAGTTCAATATAAATAATTTCAAATGAACAAGTGCACCCGTAGGATAGTTGAAGTATTTCAGGGCGTGCAAAGCATGACGGTTGATACACATTCTTTAAATATTGCAAAGGATCAAGAAGATATCTGCGGCGGGTTAAATTGAACCCTCTGTTTTGGCTTTGTATTTCTCCTCGTTTGTTTATTTCAAAATTGCTGAAAATCAAAATTAAATTGATTTAGACAAGATCTTTGGAAAAATGTTTCCATGTTTGTCAACTGAAGTTTATAGGAAGTTTGCTTTGAAATTTTATACGTTAACTCAAGATCATCAAGCTTACCAGACTTCGAACAACTCATGTATTCTAAAACACACAATTCTAAGTGCAGATATTTTCAATAAGTTTGGAAGAAATGAATGAAAAAATAAAGAACGAAAGGAACGCGGAAAAATAATGTACCTAGTACATATATTCGATTTCAAAATCGTTCACACTATTTACTTCTAACTACAGGTATTTTCATTTAGTTTTTACACTTCGTTGCTCTTATATCGGCGCCCTGCAATGACCACCAGCCAAGAACAATAACCAAGAATAACTCAAGGAAGAAAAAGTTTGTTGGTGTACGTATTCAGAAGAATACATTGCCACAATGAAAACACATAACGTCATTATTGTATAAGTTAAGACATTCTATAGAATAAGGACATATGTAGTTCTGCGCAAGCTTTGAGAAGGAGAGGATAAAGAGCTCTAGAGAGTAACAAGGACAATTTGTAAGCTGATCCGATTTGAGGAGCACAGGTAACAACGACTTTTGAACGAATATCTTAAAATGTCCATGAAGAAGTATATGGTTCACTCCCAAAGCCGGACGATTGGGCTACCTTATTTGTATTTAATTCGCTATATTCTTAGGTGGACAATTCTTAGGAAGATACTTAACCAGGTCAAAGCAAGCAATTCCTTATTTTACAAAAGATCGGTTTTTGTTAGCCACACCTGTCTTCTTTTGGAAGTACAATGATCGGCATAAAGGTGGTTTTTCAGTCCTCGCATGAAGCTCCTCGCAGCTCGCTGTGAGTGCTTGCATCTAATTAAAATTAACTGTTTAGCATTGTGATTGGATGAAAGTGCTCATGCATGCACTCGCAGCCAAACTGCGACGAGCTTCGTGCGAGGACTGGAATTAATCCGCCTTAAGTCTATAGTATGGGCTGTTTAAGAGTCAATGTCAAAATAAAACAAAAAAAAAATTTAAAATCGTGGCAAGTATCAAAATTTCGTATTCTTTCAAATTTTTATTTTAGATAGGCAATCATATAATGAGTAATATGATATATGATTTTTTGGAAAATATTGCATAGTTTTTGGGAAAACTTTTTTTATGAACAAATTCCCCTAAAATGATCATTTGACCCACCAAATTTGCGCTCAGGTTTGACGCTCTTGTTTACCAAAACCAGTGATTCTACACTCTTTATTTCGTAAAGTATTGTAGATATAGAGAATAATAAATGGGTGTACGGAAATGCCAGATTTATTTCGAGTGTTGAATATGATGTCTTACGAGTGAGCGCAGCGAACGAGTGAGATATCATGTTCAACACGAGAAATAAATCTGGTATTTCCAAGCACCCATATATGTATCTGTTTATTATATAGACAAAATTCAGTGAAAAACAATAAAGCGTCCGTGGCAATGAGTTTTACAAGAAATGATATTTTCACGCGTAAAAATGTCGTATTTTTACGTGTGTTTAAATATTTTCCCAGTGGCAAAAAACTCTATATAACACTTATGTTTATATAATCAATAGAGAATAATACATGGGAGCGCGAAAATACCAGATTTATTTCCAGTGCATGTTGAACATAATATCTCACGAGTGAGCGCAAATCGTATCCAAACGGATAATTTCGCACTTAAACCAAGGCGTGCACGCTTCGTTGAAAGCTTATTCTCTCGAAAGTAAAGCCACCGAAGCAGAACCGAGTGTGATTGAACTTATATCGGACAGTTGTCGCCAAAACAACAAGCAATTGAACGAAGACTGCAGAGAAATTACTATTGAGAATGGAGATGCGATGAATGAAAACGCTGATATCTCCTCTGCCGATCTGGCCGAAGCAAATTCTTGCAGCGCCTCTTGTATCAAGCAGAGCGAAGAAATTGATCAACTGAAGGCTGAAATAGTTTGTCTCAAGAAGTCGGTGAAGTCAAGCGAGTATATGCAAATTAACCGCCTGCAAAACGACAACTCTAGCTTAATCAAAACAGTTGAAATGCTTACAAAACAACTTCTAAAATTGAATACGGTTGATGCAAATATTGATCCCAGTTCTCAAGTATCGAAGGAACCCGCTCCTAAAGTGTCGAAAAAGCAGAAAAAGAGCAAGAAGAAGAAAATGAAGGCCAAGGAGGACATTGAATCGACAGAAAAAAATGTTCCCCCGCCTCGTCAAGCACATGCTGCCCCCACTAGCGGTATGGAAAATGTGAATGACGATGTTGCAGCTACCACGAGCAAGAATAGAGCAAAAGAAGTGGTGGTAATTGCTGGTGATTCACTAATTAAGAACGTTGTCGGAGCAAGCATGAGCAAGACTGACCCTAATCACTATTACGTCGTTAAAGCATTCCCTGGTGCAAATCTTTCTGATATGGAAGATTTCATTAAACCTATCACCCGAAAATCACCCGAAAAATCATCTTACATGTTGGAACGAACGACTTAAAGAATTCTCCTGCAAAAGTAATTGCCGATTCATTACTGAATCTGACGACCCAGATAAAGGAAGACTCGCCAACTACTGTGGTAGGTGTATCAGCTTTGTTGTCCAGAAATGATAATGCAAACCTAGCCACTAAAGTTAAACAAGTTAACTTTATCCTAGATAATTATTGTCGTATGAATAAGATACCATTCTTAAGAAATGCTAATGTGAACAATTCTCACTTGAACAATAAAGGTCTACATTTAAATAAACAAAGCAGCGAAACTCTACAAAACAATTTTATTGAATTTACTAACAATTTTAATGAATGACTTGTTACGTATAATGTTGCTGAGTCTCTTGATAATGCGAATGCTGTCAATTCTAATACTAATAGCGACATAAATCCGCTTTTACCTAAGATGAGTGGTTTCAAATTTGCGTCACTTTATATAACTAGTTTAGTAAAACACATTGAGGAACTTCGAATTTTTCTAGCCGATAATATCATTGATGTTTTGGCTATCAATGAGACAAGGCTTGATTCTGCGGTTAGCGATAATGAGGTGCACATACAAGGTTATGAAATTGTTCGCCGCGATAGATACTTAAACGGTAGATGCGGTGGTGGTGTTTGTTTTTATATACGAAGTTGCATTAATTTTTCGGTACGATACGATTTGAAATTTGATGAATTGGAAAATTTATGCATTTCAATCAATAAACCTAGATTTAAGCCTTTTCTTATAGTGACATGGTATAGGCCACCAAATTCGGTCGTGGATAAGTTTAATCACCTAGAAACGCTACTAGGCAAACTTGATGCTGAAAATATTGAGTACTATCTGGTGGGTGACCTGAATTGTGATTTAAGCTCTACAGTCTTGGATCATAGTTCAAGGTTGCTCATTGATATTGCTGAAACATTCGATCTTCAACAACTGATAACTGAACAAACTCGAATTACAAGTTCATCGTCAACATTGATAGATCACATTTTTACAAACGCTCCTG